TCCTAAATAGAAAAAACAAGTCGTAGATATAGTATATGAATTTTAATTATAAGAATTAAACAAATTAAAAATAAATATTTTATAAAGTAATCGATACCTGAATCCAATCCATCAAAAGCACTAACTTCTTGTTGATTTGAAAGAGGTGATCGATGATAATGACTATGCAGGAACCTCTCAGTTCCTACATGTTGTAATCTGATTAAATCACCACACTTAATTGTTTCACTAAAAATCAAAATTAACACTTGTATTAACTCAAAGAAAAAAAAAATAATATTTTACAATAAATGTGTTAATTAACTTACCCTCGTAAACAGTTCTTACCAATAGTACCTTTTACGATCCAAAGTGAATCAGGGTCATCAGAACTTGGCAGACCTGTAACACTTTGTTGGCCAGAACCAGTTCCTACAAAAACATAAATAATCATTAGATATGTTTACAGCGACAATAATAATAATAATAATAATAATAATAAGAGAATAGAAATAATTCAGAAATACCATAAGATATAGTATGCGAATGTAATTTATAACCTGAAGGGCTGTGAGTTAATTTTAATGCAGAACCACAGGTTACTATTAAACAAAACAAGTTAGCATATATTTTAAAACAAGAGTTATAAGATTTAAAGTAGAACTATAAGATTTTATTAATCTTTGTACCTTTTTCAAACTCTGATAGAAAATTGTATATTTTTGTAAGTTCTTTTGTTTACAATTCAATAATTAAAAACAATTTCGAATAAATAGATATTTCATTACCTTCATCAATTTCCAATACTTGACTTGTAGTAAATGTCACTACAATAACACTAATCGCAAAAATATAAATTAATCTTGCTTTAATTTTCATTTTTTATTCTAAGTATACAAATCAAAGTGTAATTAACGGTAATAAGTTCGACGCGGTTGAAATTTTATAACAAAAAACTTGGTTGGTAATGATTGGTGGAGTTTTACGCAATATTGTAATACAATTCAGCAATTGTAATACAAACCCTGACATGTAGATCCTCTCGTGATTTGTACTCGGAGTACGTATACATCTAAAGCGCTACATCTTTACAAAAATATATGGATACATCAGTCAGAACTTTAGATAATAGACTAATTTGAATGCTACCAAACGAAAACCAGGAAATTTAAATAAAGAATCCTTTACACAATGGAAGATAGGCTTTTAATCAAAATATCTAGAATAATCGGTTATACTTTTCTTTTTAATCGCGCATTATTATCATTTAAAACCCACATTCCGTTATGTAAAGAAGTTGGCATCTTCCAGAGTTGCAACTTCAGGCACCTGAAGTAGTACTTGCTGAAATTTTTTAGGTACGTACGTACGTATGTATTTAATTTTGGCAAAATGCAACTTCAGGCGTGTGCCAACCTCGGGCATTCCATATTGGGGTAAGTCTAATTTCGCCTAATGGTGCAGGTGATAGATATAGTGACAAGATCTACACGTAATATTAAAGAATTAAAGAATATAGAAAGTAGCCTTCATTCGCCTTTAATTTCTCCCGCAATATAAATGTAAACCGTTTAACAAAAGTACCTTTGCATTGTAATAACACTAGAATTTTAATTATCGACACGACTAGCGAGTTACCTCCACCGTAGTATATAATTTATCACGTAATAAATCGTAATAAATGCAACAACCAAATTTCATATAACATTGTCACGAAATAACGGGCATGGATAATGGCCCGAATTAAGCTTAATTTAGACCGAAATTCTTAATTTCACCCCTGCGCGTTATTTCGCGACAATACGGGAAGATTAATTTACATTACACAAAAAAATAACAACAATGAAATTTTTGTCAGCATATATATTAATAATAAAAAAAAATAAAAATTGTAAAGACTATGAAGTTAATTAGTTTTTTTAGTTGATAATTCCCTTGTTTGAACCAACTTTTTAAGCTTAATAAAACTCTAATCATTTTTTTTAAGCGCTTCGGATTACACCTAGTGAGATTGGTAATATCTGTAGCAGAAAAGCATGCTCACAAGAAATTCTCATAACTTGTAAGGGTAATAGTCTGCCACTTTATAAGTTATTGTTAGAAAATGGTGGGAATCGGTTTTCACCGCAATAGTGAATCTACTTCTAGCAATTAAAAAGTACTATTTTTAAAGAAAAGGCATAAATCATGTTTTATGCAAAATTTTAGTGTTATGTAGAAGTTTTATTAAATCTTATAAAAATTTTATAAACCCAATGTAGATTTACATAGTTATTTATATAAATATATATATCTTTATTTATATAGAACTACTGTATATAAATCGCAAAAAATTTTTAAGTTAAATATTAAAGCTAGGATTAGATTTTAAAGTTAAATTAGGTTTTCGAGCATGCTGGGCATTTTTACTTAGTGCATCGAGTGATTACCTTAGTCACTTTTGAGAAACAGCTAAAGTAGATTAAATTATTTATATAAATTTTATATTTATGTAAATATTAAATAAATGAGTGCGTGAGAGTGAAAACCTGAAAACCAAACATAGTAAATCATTAAATCAGTTTCCAGGGTTTCACTCTCACGCACTCAAATTACAGTCAGACCTCATTATAGTCACTCTGGATATAGTCACAACCTTGATATAGTCACAATATTTCTTAATCCTAGAT